AAATTATTCCGATTTTAAGGCGAGGTGAAAGAGGCAGGCTAAGCTAGTGCTTCCAAATCATTTATCATTAATGGATTAATTATTAGCACATCTTTTTCAGGGCTCATAGAAAGTTCGGCAAGAAGCTGCACTAAGGTCTTAGCAAGGCCAAGGAAGTACAAAAGCAAACACAACTGAAGCAATCCATTTTGTCTGCCATGACACCTCCTCCGAAGACCGCGGTGGTAGAGAAGGGAGAAAGGAAAAGGGGCGAACCTTTTCAGTGGGCAGCTGGCCCTTTTCCAGCAATAAGCGACAGGCGGCGCCATTTGCCTAAAAGTTCCCTGGATCGTCTCCGGCCTGCTGGAGAGAGGACCAGGGAGGCGGCGCCTGTCGGCGACGGCGCTCCTTTCGCCTACTTCGTAGCAGACTCTCCCCCTTCGCCTGGCCTTGACCCCCCAGGGGAGAACACCGGCTCTGCCCTGCCCTGCCTGGAGCGGGTGGCCAAGCGGCTCTTCTGCCAGGGCGGGCCTTCAATGAACCTGCCGCCGGCATCCTCGGCAGCGGCGAAGCAAAGCCTCTTTCTGTTTGCGGTGCTTTTCCCGCGCCCCCTTTGAATCCCGCTGTGTTACGTGGTAGACCAGGGGTAGTCAACCTTGGCTCTTTTATGACTCGTGGACTTCAACTCCCAGAATTCCTGAGCCAGCTGTGCTGGCTCAGGAATTCTGGGAGTTGAAGTCCACGAGTCATAAAAGAGCCAAGGTTGACTACCCCTGTCAGGTAGACACTGAAAGGAAGCGCCGAGGGCGCCGGGGAGGGAAAGCGGGTGGAAGATTGGCGCGCGTGGGCCCCACGGACTCTGTTTATCCGAATCAATGGAATCCCCACCCGGGACGCCCAAAGCGCTCTCAAAACACTTCGACTCAAAAGTAGCCCCATAGAAGACAGCGGCCCATCGAGCGAAACGGAGCCATCCGTAGCAAGTCTGGCATTCCTCGCTCAACTCCTTGGAAGTGAGCCACTTCGCACTGCCAAGTTCCGGCTGAGATCCGGGAACCTAGAGGAAAAAGCCCTTGAGGTCTGACTTCCGAGTCCGATCGTGTCCCCAGAGATACTGGCGGACGGAAATCGCAAGAAGTCAGACCCGAGACCAGCAAAGGCCACCCGGCTCGCTGGAGAAAACGTGTTTTGATTAGAACGTATGAAGCTGAGAGGCGTGCGTGCGCGCGTTTGGAAAGGCGTTGACAGATTTGCCTCCCCAGAGCCGAGGCCTAACTCGGGGGGGGGGGCGGCGCAGGAAGGGGTTTGTAGCAGCGGTTCGCATTTCGGCCGCCTGCGTTTCTGCGAGGAGCATATTAGGGGCGCAGGGTCTCGGGGTGTATGTGTGTGTGTGTGTGTGTGTGGGGGCGCTTCAGAGTGTCAAAGATGCGACGTTGCCCCGACCTTCCCTCGCGCTCTCTTTCCATTGTTGCAAAGCGCTCGCTTGGTGTGTGTTTGTTCCGCCTCCGGCGAGCGTTTGGCTCTTAACGGCGTGGTTGCGTGCGCGTTTCTCTTATGTGCTGTCTTCGTGCGCTGGGTGGCTTTATTTTGTTTCTTTGCTCTCGGTTGCCCGGGATAAGGGCAAGATTCCCACTGGCAGTGCCAGGTGCAAGCTCTATTCTCTCGACACCCCCCCCCCCACCTCCCCTTCTTCGCCGCCTTTGGAGCCTGCGGCTGCCTATTAAAAAAAGCCGCGCCGCGAGCCAGAGCGGCTGAATCAAGGCCACCCCCGTCCCCACGCACCCCCCACGCCAGGGGGACAAGCGGGCGAGCCCCTCCTTCCCCCCCTTTCTCCCTCGGCGAGAGCGGATGAAAAGGACGGACGCTGGATGGCGGGGAGGTGGTCGAAGCCAGGCCTTAAGGGAAGCCAGGGATTTCCCCGATGAGAAGCCCGCCAGAGGCGGCCGCGACCAAGCCGAGCATGCCCCCGGAATATCAACAAGCGGGGAGGCGCGCAGGGCACCAGCCAGCCCTTCGCCTTTTGTCTTTCTCTCCCTTCCTCTGCCCCTCTCTTAGCGGTAACTTCCCGGTCCGCCTTTCCTCCCTGTACGACCTCCTGCTTGATGTGTGGCCGCAGAGGAGCAACGGTTCCCCCGGCAAGCTGTTTGGCTTTGATTCTCCTTGCCACTTTACACGCGCACTGCGTGTAAATGTTTGTGGGCATGGATAACACGCGAACGCCTCTGTTTCAAAGCCCTTTGACCCCTTAAGACTCCAAAGTGCAGGGCCTCAATAGCTCAGGCCCTTCTTTGGAGGGGCTGATCATGAGAAGCGCCACCTGTATAGAGATACCGACCAACATCTTTCCTTGGCATCTTTCACCACACACCAGCCTGTCTCATGAACTGCATGCATACACTCTCAGAGGAGGATCTATGTGCTGCTCAAGAGAGCAAGGCCTTCAGGTAAACTCATCCAATTCTTTGGGTTGCTCAATTTGCTCCTGCTTTCTATGCTTCTTTATAGGGCACGTTCCCAAAGCTGGTTGCCTGCCATTCATACTTTGGGCTAAATCTGCTCTAGATTTGAGTCCTAAGGAACCCAACCTAAGGAACACAACGATTTTTACCTATGGAGAAATGAGTCGGACTAGTTAGGATGTCTGACTAGCCCCAGGTAACCCCACCAAGACATCTCCGAGCTAAGTAATCCTCAGGGTAGTGCCAGCCAACTTTGGCTGATCTTAAGAAAAATTAAGGAAGCTGGACCTTGTTTATTCTTAAGATAGGAGACCGCAAACTGGGTTGAAGTCTGGGTTGAAAAAAAATAATGTCTGTTGTAGAGGGTGAAAGCATAACCTCTTCCATACCAGTTCCAAGGTAAATTACATGTGGACATTTCCATGCAGTCTCCAGGAGTCCAACTGCACTCATGGTCTTACCCAATGGAAGCCCATTTGCTGTATCTTCTCATGTTAGAATTTCTTTTAGTACACTGTTAAAAGAAATTCTACAAGCAAATTCTACAAACATACAAGCAAGGTATGTTATGCTTATGGACCATACTTCCCTATCTTGTCACTTCTCCAAATGATGCAACAGTCACACTTTGTCTGGGCAGTTTATTTATTTAATCCCTACAACAATCCAGCGTTTTCTACTGTAGGCAAGACCTGGAGGAGAAAGCTGTGCACTTTGTCTAACCCAAAGGTGCTTTTCAAAAGGCAACTGGACTTTCTTGTTTTTTTGTTTTGAAAACGTTTCACTTCTCATCCAAGAAGCTTCTTCAGTTCTGACTGAAGAAGCTTCTTGTATGAGAAGCAAAACGTTTTCAAGGGAAAAAAAAGAAAAGGAAACCCAATTGCCTTTGGAAAGGCACCTTCGGAACAACCGTGTCCTGGAGGGCTGGGAATCTCTATAGGCACTTTGTCTAAGGTCGCCCCTTGCACAAACTCTCATCTGCAAACTGTCCCCCCCAAAAAAAGACTAGCAGCTTGGCAGTTACTGCACCGCAAGGGGTATGCCTTTAACCGCCAACTTTTGCTACACTTATGTGTGTGAGCGCGGCGCCCGCGAAGTGTCAGGGAGGAAATTAGGGGTAGGGTTCGTTCAAGAAACAAGCAGAGAGATATTATTTCCGCATCAGGAACTTGCTGCAATCCGTACAAAAGTTTTCGAAAGAAAGTGGCCCAACGTTGCGACTTGGCAGGTGAAGGAAGGAAGGGGAGGGGGGGGGAGGAAGAAAGGGGGGGGGGGGGGGAAAGAGCGCTTTTCCAACCGAGACCTTTTGCTTGGAGAGCGGGGGCGGAACGTCAGGTTCAGGAGCGGAAGCGAGCTAGAGAGAGGGAGAGAGAAATTAAAATACGAGGCACAAGCAAAGATCAACTGGCAGAGGGAGGCAGCGCTCTCAGTCTGCGCTTACTCATAAGAAACCCTGGTGCCAAACACTAACCGGGACAGGATTGCTCGAGGCGAAGGAGAGCCTCGAGTGAGCGAGCGAGCGAGCGAGCAGCTTCAAGCAGGACCCACTGGCTAGATTTCTTCAAGTTACTTCTGGAGCTTTTTTTTGCCTTCTTCCTCCCGCGGCTTTTTCTTTGAATATCGCTTGTTTCCAACCGCGTTTTGACTTGGAAAGCTGAATTACTCGCGGGACCCCCCAGGAGAGGGACCCACCCGGCTGGACTTGTAGCCCCCGTTTGATCCAAAAGGGAGTCCAGGAGAGAAATCCGTCGGGGAGAAAGGAGCAGCTGCTGAAAAATTGTTTTTGTTTGCAACGGACCGGATCTTTTTCAGGAGCCTCTCTCACCCTTCTTGCCTCCGGTTCTCCGCTTTCAGGTTAACAGGCTTTTGTCAGAGAGGCGCAGACCCGGAGAGCGCGCCCGCCGCGCTAAAGAGGACAGCTGCAGAGCGTATCGAGGGACCGGCTTGGCGGATTGGATTTGGCGAGCTTCCCCCACACCCGACCGCCTCCCCGTGTGGCGAAAGATAGGGAAGGCGTCGTTGATTGGAGTGTCCCCAGCCTGTCGCTCTTAAATTGGATTGACTCTCAAATCTGCCTCGTGGATCCTCCACGCCACCCCGTCTTCCCCCTCCCCTTTGGCCCCCCGATGACTCTTGGCTAAAAAAGAGCGCGCTCTCTCCACCTCCTGCCTGCTTTTGGCTGGACGCTGCCTGCCTGGAGGCAAACCACTGACATCATGACAGAGGAGTTGGCTGCTTTGGAGCTACCCGCTGGCAAGTGACCGAGTGAGGCCGCGGGGGGACTCCGACTGCCCTGGGGAAAGCGGCTTTCCCGACCGATCCTTCTTCGCCGCCGTCGCCGCCGCCTCGCAACCTCTCCGCCGGAGCTCCTTCGACCGGCCTCGTGCCCCCGGGAGCCGATTCGGACGCCGCTCTCGCCAGATCGCGCCCTCGCCCGGCTGGCCCTCTTCTCGTGGGGCTCGTCCGTCGCCCCTACCGACCGCCCTGAGCTCCGCGCCTCCAACCCGGCCGGCTGCCCCGGCTCACATCTCAACCTCAGAGCGGAACTGCCCGGCGATCGGCATGGACGGGACGGATCGGAGGGGGCCCCTGACCGCCTCGCTTCTGCTTCTGCTGGCGGAAGCCTGCTGGCTGATGCTGAGCGCCGGAGCCTCGCCGACGCCTCCCGGGGCAGCTCCCCTGGACACCTGCACCTCGTGCGGCTTCCGGCGACCACCCGAGGAGCCCGGCGAAGTGGACGGCGATTTCCTGGAGGCCATCAAGAGGCACATCCTCAACCGCCTCCAGATGCGCGACCGGCCCAACATCACCCACGCCGTGCCCAAGGCGGCTCTGGTCACGGCGCTGCGCAAGCTGCACGCCGGCAAGTTGCGGGAGGACGGCCGCGTCGAGATCCCGAACCTGGACGGGCAGGCGAATGTGGGGCCCGGGGCTCACCAGCAGGTCTCGGAGATCATCAGCTTCGCCGAGACAGGTGGGTTGCCCGCTCGCCCACCCCGCTCCACCTGCCCTCTCGGCCCCGAGCATCCGTCGCCTCCGCCTGGGAACGACGGTCCGAGCATCCCGCCTCGCCCCCAGCGAGCCGCTTCCCGGTCTCCTGCAATCCCACCGTTTCCCTCTGGGGGTCGCCGGTCTTTCCTTCTCCAGACCCGCGTCCCGCCTGCTTTCCGCTGCTGCTTCTCCCTTGCGGGGACCCCCCGCTTCCCTTCCGCTGCCCATCCTAGGCATTTCCCCCACGCCGGTTCCGTCCTTGCTCGGCCCCTCCATGCAATCCCGTCCGTCGGCTTTGCACTCCCCTTGCCTCCCCGTTTCCGACTGCTTGCCACGCCCGCCTTTCTTTATTTCTTTACCATAAGGGCTAAATTCCCGTCACACCTTTGTAACTCCTGCTCCGTTCCGATGTACCCTCTGCATGCTGTGTTCCGCACCCCTCCGTTCCCCTGTCCATCCTTGGTTTCTGTTCCATGGATCAAGTCGGATCCTCTGTTTAATTGCAATACTGGCTCCATTTAAATGGGCATGTGTGGGGTATGTAGCTTAACATAATGGGTGTGTACTACAAAAATCCTATTTATTTACCACCCATCCTCCAGGCTCTGCTGATCAGATCTCTTTGTCATATTTTCCTCCCACAGGCTATAGGTTTATACATGCTACTCTCAGAAACCGGTGCCATCCTCATGGCATAGATCCGTACCACGAACAACCTAATCACAATTTCTCCTGCTGTGCATTGGTTCCACTCTATACAACACTGAATGTTCCTTGTCCTGTTTTTTTAATCTAGTGTCACACAGAATATCTGTCCTCCTAACCTCTTCATCCAGGAATCCATTTTCATCCTTCAAGCCCCCATCCCTCTGCCCCACCTACCTCCCCAGCCATAGATTCTTCCCCTTTTGTGCCTGGTATCAAAAAGTAAAGTGAACTTGTTCTACTTTATTGACCTATTTTGCTCAGTAACTTTTCTGTCTTTCTAACCCCCATCCTGCCTATCACTTGAGTTTCTTCTGCTCCCTCTTCTTCTTCATCTTCAGACAGGGTCTTCTGACTATTCACATACATATATCCATCCACTCAGTGACCTTTTCCTCACATACATGCCCCATAAACGTTTGGTGATCCCACCCGTATCATTTGTGTATGCATCCTTTATTCTGTGAGACTTTCTACTTCCTATTCCATATGTTTCCACTTGCATATTTGTTAAACCAGAGTATGAAGTTATGAATGAGTAAAAATGATCAGGTATTACCCTGTAATCTCACCTATTAGTATTAACCCACCCATAAGAATTGCATTTATGAAAGCATTTAATCAATTCCCCCCCCCTTATTTCCCCAGTCACAATATTGGCTCATCTTGTATTTCTTTCTCTGGTGTAAAGTCCACCTCCCCCCCCCACTTCTATGCTTCTCTATGATTCTATTGCTCCTTCTATTTTAATAGCACCATGTCTATCCCACGTCTCCAATTTAGCTGATCTCAATTGCTGAAGTTACCTTCTTGTATATCCAAGTGAGATTTTCTCGCTCTTCTTCATAAATCATATCTGTATATCTATCCCTCCTTTCTCTGATACTTTATATTAACATTCCTGTGTTCTACAGCTGCCAACTAGTAAAACCACCAGTGTAAATACCATTGTCAAGTATCTTATTCCTTAGAAGTTGATAAGGTACTCGTCAGTGAAAAGATGACAAACAAGCTTACCTTTCCAGAGAAATATAAAAGAATATTAAGTGTGTTCTAAATCACGTCCGGTAAGCACAGAGCAATAGTGTGGCTAACGGTGTCCTGTGTATGAGCTGAGTGTGAAGATGACATGTGCTTCTAAATTAATTGCAGCAGTGCTGGATTCATAACAAAAGTTCAGGGGTTCCTCAGAAGAGCAGTCCCTGTAAAAAGGGTTGTTTTCAGGTAAACAGTTTGAAAACTATTATAATACATACAGGGCAGGAAGAGATAGAAGGATAAGTGAATGCATTCATTACCTGGGTGAGTAAAATAGGAGAAGGACAAAACTATTAGAATTTAGTTTTCATCTTCCAGTGGAATTATAATCTGTTACCTGTTTATCATGGCATGTCACTGTTACCTTTAAATGTCTGGTGCTGTTTGGATGTGTTATGATAAATGCACATCCAACGTATTGTATGATATTTTCTTCATCATGCTCCTGGAAAGTATAGATTAAGAAAATATATCCATCCAATACTACTACTAATAAAGCATTATCCTGTGGCATTGCAAGAACTAGGTCTAAAGTGTAAAGATTTGCAATTTGGCTTGACAATGCCTGCACTAGGGTTTTTCTTTTCAACATACTGAACAATGTGGAATTGGATTGGAATGAATTGAAGCAGAATGAAGAATATTGAATAAACTCTGGAGCTGGGTGATCCTGTGCATATTTGCTCAAAGGTGGACCTGCTGAGTTTCACATAAATGTGCACAGGATAATAATTTCTAGGTCAGAGGTGTTTGAGTAAGGGATTCAGTGCCAGCTTGTCCCATTTAGTGTTCATATTATAAATATGAACCAGAAGGCAAGCAACCAGTTGCTCATGACATCTGCTTTCCTGCTTTAATTTCACTGAAAAGAAAACAGCAATGGCATTATGTTGGATACAGAGTTAATTTCACTGACATCAGTGGGACATGAACTAGTCTTGACTAAGTTAATTTCAAGAGCTGTTCTAAGTATGACTAAGTCTAGATCTATCACCCATTGGCTGCAATGAAAAGTTGCTTAATACCCAGAAAAATGGAGTGGGACTTAATGTCTAAAGTTCATCCCTTAGTTAAATGAAACAGCTGCAAGGAGTAGAAGAGGATGTGTTCTCCTTAGATGTCCAGATGCCAAGTAAATAAATAACACAGGTATCCTGTACCTTTAAGAATTGTGCAAAAGAGAATTTAAGATGGCAAGACAATCTATATCTTTGGGCACAATTATGACAAATGCAATTGTCCTGTCATTTCAGTTATTATTACTAAGGCAGTAAATCTTTGCCTGGATAGTACCCCTTTGAGCTACTGGTGGGTAAGGCTCATATTAGTGAATAATAACTCACCTCACCCCAGCCTTTTGAAAGCTAAAACGTCAGGGAGATAGTTGTGCTAGAAGACTTTCTCTGACACTTTTATATTCTGGATATTGTTATACAAAGGAACATACTTCTATTTGCAATCTGGAACAATCAAAATCAGACAATTTTACAATCCCAGTAAGAATTTGCTTTGGTTAAGTGGACAAATCAACCAAATCCTTGCATTTCCAAAGAATTATAGAGCTACTGGGTGAGTTTACAGTGCATCTAAATTGTAACCAAATCCTTTCTCTGGAAAAAAAAAACAACTTTCCCTGATAGTTAACAATTTGTGCTTTCTGGGAAGATTATACAGGAGGGGTGCCTGTGCCAGGCCAACACTTTTAAAAAACTAATTAGCACTTATCCAGGTGCTCCGAGTTCCTTTCATGACTTTCCATCTATCTGAACTTAATTGCTTATACACTGATTTCTAAGGATCTGGCTCCCCCCCCATACCCTGATTAGTTTCTCTCTGGGAACTTTATAATGGGTTTCTAGTCCCGATTTAGCCACTGAACAACTTTGCAATCGATAGCTGATGGTGTATATTCCCTCCCCCTTTTCTGTTTAGCCATTTATGTATATTATTTGTGGCACTTAACTAATCTTATGCATTTATTTCTATCCATGATTCGTTTTCTTTTTTTCCTTAAGAAAACCTAACACAAACATTTTCTTTCCCTCCCCCCTCCCCCATTATATTCTAGATGACCTGTCATCCTCTAGAATGCGCCTCTATTTCTTCATTTCTAATGAAGGGAATCAGAATCTGTTTGTGGTTCAAGCCAGTTTGTGGCTTTACTTGAAGCTGCTTCCATATGTCTTGGAGAAAGGCAGCCGGCGAAAAGTAAGAGTCAAAGTGTATTTCCAAGACTCGGACACCAGCAACAAGTGGAATGTGGTTGAAAAGAAAGTTGATCTCAAAAGAAGTGGTTGGCACACATTTCCTATGACAGAAGCAATCCAAGCTCTGTTCGAGAAAGGAGAGAGAAGATTGAGTTTGGACATTCAGTGCGAAGGCTGTGAAGAGTATTCAGTGCTGCCAATTTATGTGGATTCTGGGGATGAATCCCACCGGCCTTTTTTAGTGGTGCAAGCCCGATTGGCTGACAACAAGCACAGGATTCGGAAAAGAGGTCTGGAATGTGATGGCCGGACCAATTTATGCTGCAGGCAACAGTTTTACATTGACTTTAAGATCATCGGATGGAATGACTGGATCATAGCACCAGGGGGTTACTATGGGAATTACTGTGAAGGGAGCTGCCCAGCCTATTTGGCTGGAGTCCCGGGCTCAGCTTCCTCTTTTCACACAGCCGTCGTGAATCAGTACCGCATGCGAGGGCTGAACCCAGGCACCGTGAACTCCTGCTGCATTCCGACCAAACTTAGCACAATATCCATGCTGTACTTTGATGATGAATACAACATCGTGAAGAGGGACGTTCCCAATATGATTGTGGAAGAATGTGGCTGTGCCTGATCTGGAGAAGGATGCTGGAAAGGGGCGGGGGGGCAGGGAAGGTGGGGGGGAGTGAGAAGATTCCCCTACTGAATGGATTTGGACATGCTACTGCTCTTTTTCTTCCTTCTGGGCATGGATGTTAAACCTTACTGCAGAGGCAACAGCGGCAAAGGCAGCAATAGCACTGAGAAATACATATAAATATATATCAATTGCACTCTGTTGTCAGGACAGTGGCAGTCAATGCATCCTGGACACTAAAAAGTATGCTACCACATATAAACTAATGCTTTCAAGTTACTTAATCCTACCTATATACCCAAAGACACGAGTGTGTGTGTGTGTGTGTATGTATACATCAACATACACCTACCTACACACATATATACACATACTCCTATATACACATACACACAGCAACATGAACGCACATGCTGCGTGATCCAGTTTGGAGGAAGGCATTATGTAAAGGGGTTAAATGTCTGCTGGGGATGTATGCCTATAGACCAGTAGATATTTTCTTCTCTCAGCCAGCCCTATATTTAGAACAAAATGTTTGAAGAAACAAACCAAGAAAACAATCCTACATGCTCGTAGACAAGCATTTCAGTGACCAAACAAGCAACCAACTACCATCATCTCTAAGGTCTAAAATGAAGCAGCAAGTTATCTGCTTGGTGACAGATGAGTTCCTCTTCCTGATGGGAAGTGTAAGATATGCATATAGCACTTCCAGGAGAGAATATGCTCACGAAACCAGTCTCTCTCTTACTATATGTATGTTATGTATGCATGTTTGTGTGCGTAAGAGAGAAAGAGAGAGAGAGAGACAGAGAGAGAGAAACAGTACCATGTGATTAATACCAGAAATGGTAGCTGTATTCTTCTGAATGATAGATCGGCATGTTTTTTATGCTTTATTGGACAGCTAGGTTCTCCTGTGCCATCCAGGTGGACAATTATCCCTGTTATGTTGTCAAAAAAAAAAAAAGGACTTGGCCCTTCCTGTTCTAGTTTTGCTCATGGTCCGTACTACATTCTCAAAAAGATTTGCAACATCAAAACCTGCAGTTGAAGTTCCATGCTTGGAGTAACAGTAAGAGTAACAATGGGGACAGCTGGAGAGGACAGAAGGAAAAAAGAAGCCAGTGTTAGCACAAGTAAACTTATGAGCCATAAGAGAAATCTCAATCACGCAGTGGATATACTTGGGAAAAGGAGGAGTGCACAGTGTTTGAAACTGTGAGAATGTTTACTACATCCTGAGGAGGGGGGAGAGAGAGAGAGAGAGAGAGAGAGAGAGAGAGAGAGAGAGAGAGAGAGAGAGAGAGAGAGAGAGAGAATGCACAAGTAGAGGGTATTACATTTAGTTTGGTTTCCAAACACTTACATACCAAGGGTGGCTGCAGAGCTCAGAAATCCATGCTACACTACAGCACTCGCAACCTGCTTGAATGCACGTTCCTATAGCACTTGCAGATTTCAATGCCTTGACTGGTTGGTACTTGATGGTGCACTTCCTTTTGCTCACTGTTCTCTAGTTTTAAAAACAAGTGCCGCATGAGCTATGCAATTTAAAGTGTCAACCCAAACTAGATGAAACTGGACTGAAATGAGACGGTACTTTTTATATTTTTTTATACTTGAAATTAAATCTTTTGCTTCTTTTTTTAAAAGCGAGTGATTGGTTTTCATGTTTGCACTGATGTAGTTGCATGACTTGGTCAGGAGAAACTATCCTTTTTTGGGGGGGAAAGGTTATTTTTATACCAACAAAAATACTGGATACAATGAAAATGTATTATACTGAAAATTTTGGAACCAAAGAGGCCAACATTTTAATTATAATTTTTAACAGATGGCAGGGCCATTGTATCTACAGTCACACGACGATACTGAACACTCGACACTAAGGCCTGTCAATTTCTTTTCAGGGTACAAAATAGATTCCATTGTCTTTGGATCAGTATCTTCTCTATACCCTCATATGTTGGAGACATTCCAAGATGTACATCCTTTAAAGAAGAAACCCTCCCCCCCCGAATTGTTGTTTATTTAATAAAGTCCCTTGTAGGTTCTGTTCCATAGTAATCTAAATACCAAACAACATTCACTTACATTTGCTGTCCGAGTATTTTGCATTTGTGTACAGTTTAAGTAAATAAAACAAAAGAGAAAAAAAAAAGCTTGAGAACTGCAGCAGCTTCTTGCAGTTACGCTGAACTGTTGGAAAAAAAGCTTTGTTGAAAAGTATCTCTAGCTTGGGGGATCAAGGCCTGATTGCTGAACACGCTTATGCACTGTTGAATGGAAGCATGAATGCGGAACCGTTGGTCGGATAAGGGCCAGGGAACTTAGTGCAGGTGCAAACTCCATTAAATTCCACAGGGCTAATGTTTTGAGCAAACAATTCAGGGGAACATGGCCTAGGGCCTTGCAAATCCCAAGATTAACTGAGAACAAGCCTGCTTTTGCTCTTCCTCAGCCATCGTTTCACAATATTCTTACCAAAAATACCCCTTGTGGAATAATAAAGCTTTAAAAAAAATATTACAAACCAAAGAAGATTGGGATGAAATATCCTACATGGGTTGGGGTGGCCATTTTCAATTCAGAGAATGCTTCCCATGGTGACTCTCTGCTACAAAACCCATATGCATCTTAGCAAGGAAAGAGGGTGGTGGTGTTTGTCTGAATTTTAGGGCAGAATTTTTTCAAGTTGTCACCCTCCTTCAGCCTTTTCTCATTCATGACTTAATGTACCTTCTTGCTCACATCATGTTAATAGAAAAAACTACCATCATAACTTGGAGGTCTGGATGATAGCCTCCCTTCTGTGTTTCAGGATACCTTGGTAACCAAACATCTTGCTTTACAGGTTGAAGGCCAATATTTTCAGGACCATATTGGTCAGTGTCTAAATAATGATGGCCAGTGAAGGAGATATGACCTTCCAAGAAACTCAATTCCACTTCGGTCACAAACTGGAACAGGTCTTCTTGTCAACCTGCCCCCCAGAAAAGGAGTGGCAGAACACAATTTCCCCCCCACAACATGTTGTAGTCCTAGCTTCCTGTTGATAGAAGCAGGAAAAATTACCTATTTTTAAGAATAGGAAAGATGGACACAACTGCTTAAAATCTTGACTTGAGAACAATGGAAAGCCAAGTTCTGTTGAAGAAGAGGAACACCCAAGTTGGCAGTGGTCTAGCACTGATGAAAACTATTAGTGAAGAAAGAGCTTTGGAAATCTAGGAGACCGTGTTACCTCACCGTTACTAAGTTCAATCTATGTAGAATACTGTATGATGCTCCAAATGTTTCCTGAATAATTTCACAGTGCAAAGCAAAAATGCTAATAGTGGACTTGCAGGAAAATTTATTTGCTGTTAGTGATATTCCTACTTAGGAATTTCTGACAATTTTCCTAGGTCAAGCCAGAATTTCTTTAAGATAGAATTTGAAAGTAAACATTTCTTTCTAATCCTGAGCCAAAATGTAAAGATTAAAAGCTACCTGTACACCTCAAACAATAATCCTCTGATTGAGATTGAGACTACAGCATTGGAAAAAAAATATGTTAATGAAAATATATATCTATTTCATCTGTATACTGTAAAGGTTTCCCTTACAAGAAAAATAACAGGTAGTCCTCATCTAGTAAATGCTTAATGACTATTAATGATCACTTGCTGATGAAAAAGTAACTATGCAACAAATCCTCACATTTATAACAATCAGTGTTTTACTTAGCAATTGCTTCACTTAACAGCTGAGTTGCTGGTCCTAATTGTGGTCACTAAATGAGAACTACCTGCATCAGAATCTTCAAGGTAAATGTTTTCATTCAGAAAATGGCAGTAAAAATAGGTTCATAAATTGAATCAGCCATTCAAATCATTTTTGAATTAGGCCTTTCTGACTATTTTTTAAAACTTAAAAATATGGTCTCTGTTGTCTGAACTTCTAACACCCTCATTCACAATGTAGTATTTTCCCTCCAGAATTTTAGTTCATTAATCTTCAGATAGTTTGCCAAACCCAGCAAACATATCTTCTGATACCCTGGCCCAAACAGCCTTGTGCCTTCCCTCCATTATTTAAAGAGGAAAACAGATTTGTGTTTTTAAAATCCCTATTGTCAAAGCAAGGATTACTTTGCAAAGCCCCCATACTCTACAAAATAATGCATGGTTGAAGTGTCTTCAGCTCCTGGCTTAGGCTGCATTCATTTATTCTCTGCAGTGATTTAAATGCTGGGAAGGTTTTTGACAGTGGGAAAGTTCAGTATTTCCCACAATGGTGCACTCCAGATATGCTGAACTTCAACTTCCAGAATCCCCAACCTGCATGGACAACACATTGTAAGGCACTTGTTTAAGTAGTACACTGTAATTATTTCATATTATAACATTCATATATGCTTCCATGCTTGTTTACAACCACCATCATTATCATGTGGCAATATTAATTTATATTAACATTTTAGGACAGAAATGGCTTATTATGGGCAAAATAGCAACAGAGCAAGGTTAGAATAGAAAGAAATTAACAGAGAATAATTCTTTGAAAATAAAATCATCTTGGATAATTTGAAATAGCTGGTGGAGATGTAATGTGTCCTGCCAGATACTGGGAAGTAGCTAGGGATGCCATCTTATCCCAGATATCAGTTTAGAAAACAAATAAATATTGTAGCCCAAGGAAGATCCCCCTATTTACAAATTTATACTAGAATTGAAAGAAGATAAAAACTTCTCAATCAAAATTCCCCTTTCTTTCTATTCTCCAGGTAATTCTTTGTGTACAGAGGGGAGACCTAGATCTGTCTCTCATTTTAAAAACTATTTAAAAAATAGACATCAAGTCACACATGTTCAAAACATTTAATGCTCTCATAACAATACATTATTATTCCAATGAAGCTGTTTTAAGTTATTTTGATTTTTCTGTTTGGGTAATGGTGGTAATCAGCTCCTGAGACATCACAATTTAAGTTGAAAAATGATCTGTCTTTG